CCTTTTTCATTTTTATTTAAGAAGAAAATTTGTTCCACTGTGCGATGGCCGAACCTGTTCCTTTTCGTGGAGATAATTTCTCCTGCCTTAAGGGAAATCCCTTCATATGGCACAGAAGACGCTGGAGTGCAGAGAAACTGGTAGAGATGCAGTTATACAGTCTAACTGGGCCCCACAAACTATCAGCTAAATAGAATAAATACATTAAATTGCTGCACATTTGGCAGACTAACATTTTCAGATTAATTAAACAATAAAATATATATTTTTATAACATTACATGTAAAGAGTCAAGTGGAAGTCTAAAGTTTTCTAAAGTTATTTAATGATATTTATTTTATGAAAGCAGTTGGTTTTTTTTTTTGACATTTTAAGTTTTTTCCCATTATAAGATAAAATAAACACGCACAAAACAAAAGCAAACAGCCAGAACACAAAGCTGTAAAACCCACCCGATCGACCAAAATCCACTCAAAATTCTCCCACACATCAGAACCTCCTCTATTCCTCGCTGGCTCCAAATCTCTCAGTGGAATGATCAGTGGTTTGCTATCTGTCACCATCAAAACACCACAAATCCCGCGAATGATTCATTTCCTTATAAACCATTGAATCAGATACCGAAGCAGTTAGACTCTAAATGAAGCTTCGGACATCACTGATCACGTGACTCTGGCCAAACGAATCAAGCTTCGACACAGTGCTTCTGAAGCAGTGTGTTGATTTTTTTGACACACGCACCGGAGCTTCAGCTTCAAGCGGGCCATCACTACTGTTTAGTTTTCCCCAGTATAGATTATCTTTAGTTCCATTTTGCCATTTTCACCTTGTGCTTTATTTTGCAATAAACCTTCTTCACATCTCAGCTAGTGCCTGCTCTTGGGTCCCCATATATTTCCTCCACACAGCTCACTTCACTAGCCGTGACAGTAACTACATGAAAATACAGATTTTGTTATAACTATTTTCAAAATTGTTTCTTGCAAATGTATTGCAACTTAAGTACCACATTTCTTTTTTTATCATACCAATTTAACTGTTACAGAAAGACTCACAAAGAAAAATGAATTACAAATCAGCATTACTGTTGGCAGAAAAACAAAATGTAACTGAGCTAGACAATAAAAACAGTAAGTGTAGGTAAATATTACCCACTCAATAAGTACCCCATATTAATGCATGTTATGACTATTGAATTTATATGTAGCTACACAACAGACACAGGTAGATGCTTGCCCAAAAGCTTTAATGTAGCAAGAAGGAAACTTAAAAACAAAGAATTAAAACAGAATAGTTTTCTTGGAAGACAATACAAAGAAACATGGTAAAAATCAGTCTACTGATGACACAATCACACTTCTGTTGACTTGTGATTTTGTTGTTTAAGTGTTAAACAGAGAGGAAAATAGAATGCTGCACATAAAGATATAGGAGCAAAACAGAAACATTGTATTTCAGTCTGCTGTTTTGATTCAAATTTCTTGTGTAAGTGTCAGTCCAGGAGTCCTGATCTCTTCTTGGCACAGACAGAAGGACGGAGATTATCACACCACACATCATCCCAGCATTTGCCATCTGCGAGGTTCAAAAGCAGAAATCAGTAAAATGTTACACAAAGTGTTAAAGATGCAATCCAAAGCAAGATTGTAAGTTTTGATTGATGTAGTATTTTATTTAAAGCACTTAAATTATTCACAAATTAAGCAACCATGTTCTGAATTACCACTATAATTAATCTGTAGGCAAAATGGACGGGAACCACTAATGGGCTCTCCTGGGCACCAGTTTGTGTACTGGAAAGGCCTCCCATCACTCCAAAACCAAATATGCTCCTGAAATTAAACACAGCATTAGTTCAAAAGGTCAAGCCTTGTCACAGTCCCTGTATTAGTGCAACCCATCTCCACCCTAGATCCTCTATTCACATATTTTTTTTTGACAAAATGTAACATCTTCTATCATTAATACAAAAAGAGAAATACTGTGTAAAGATAAAAAAAAAAAAGTACCCCTGGTGCATTGGTTCCTCCAACCCAAGTTGTTTGGTAGCCATGAGGAGCAGTCATCTTCTGAATCATATGGTATTCACTGCTGCTGTGCACAGATGCAAGGTTTGCGCCCATGGACAAGCAGTTTCTCTTCAATGGAGAGTGGAGTTTTATTCATGTATGTATTTTATGTATTTTAATCAAGTGTTGAAGACAATACAAATAAGTTAACATACCTCAGCTCTAGGCCAAGTCATGGATGTTGGAACGTAAACAAAGCAGCGATCTTTAAACTCAGTCCAGCCATGAGGACAACAACAGGATGTCTTGATTAGGTCACGCTTTGCTGGGGGTCAATAAAAAGTTGTACATGTTGTGTCTCCAGTTGATATCTTATTTTGTAATATCTTAATCCTGACATCTAATATAAATGAAAACGATCATACAAGCAATATCTTGAAAAATAAACATTAGTTAAATGATCGACAATGAACAGAATATTTTGACTCCTTCACATTTATGTAGTGTAATTCTATGCATGCCTCTGTAAACTTTATAGTGATTATTAGTGATGTGCGAAACCACTGATTCCCTTTCCGATCTGATACCGAGTAAAATTCAGGGTGGTATCAACGATACTGATCCAATACCAATACTCTGTACAAAAACGTAATGTTTCATTGTATTTCATAATACAATATATAATTGTATTATGTAATTTTAATAATAATATAATAATAGAGCTTCATAATGATTATAGGACATCAGATTACTGATGTCCTATACGAGGTTAGTGGTGTTGCCACAACATCTCACTGTCTCACCACATATATTGCAAACCACGTCTTGGCTGTTTGTGGAGGTAAAATACGTCCACACATGACTCCGTTTACGCTCAGCCATTGTTGTGAGTGCACACGAGGTGCTGCGACACATTTATACAGCTGTATTTTGCATTTGACTATGAAAGGCGTAAGAGGAAGTAGTTCCTTCCAATTTAGACGATCCGAATGTTTCTTTCCACTCTGTTCCTGTTAATGATAAACTACAAATTTACCGCAAAGTGCTAAAATATTGATATTTTAATATGAGAATCGATTCTAGAACATAGACGACTGGTATCGGAAGAATCGATAATTCAGTATCGATCCGCACACCACTAGTGATTATTAGTAATGCCTTTCTAGGTATTAAGATGATAGATTATTTATACAGTACCTTTAAAAAGGATTTGCAAAGTTGACAAACAAAATCAAGGAAGAAGGTAAATTCAAACAGAGAGTTAAAATGTGAGGTTAAACAAAACTAAGTACAGTATCAAGAAAATGTGAATTAAATAAAACAAAACACAAAAAACTTTGACTGTGCTTGTGAAACGCAGAAACTGCTCTGCGTTTTATTTTCTCTCACCCTCTCTATCTTGCTATTATATTCTCTAGTGCTATACTCTCTTTTATATTTAGCTATTTTCAAGAAATAAAATGTATTATTTTCTCTTCTTACAGTGTATCCTTTGTACTATAAATTGAGGTGCAAATCTTCCATGAGAAAGGTGCTTTTCTTTTCTTTAGAGATGTGATTACTTTTAGTCAGGAAAATGTCCACTAACCTCTTGGGATGAATCCCTTTGCACCACTGCTGACCTCTTTATCTGGCAGAGCTGAACAAATTAAAACAGCAATTGTTGACTGATTATTGAAATACTTACACACACTTGCATATTGCAACTTGTCCTGCAGTACTCACTAGCAGCAGTGGTCAGAGCAGTCATTGCACAAAGAAGTGTAGACACATTGAATAGCTTCATTTTCATCTGTGTAAAAAAACAGAAATGTTAAAATAAGTGATGGTTCAATAAGAAAAGAGAGACGATAATTTATGAGTCTCCTTCTACAGAAAGGTCTGCTCTCTTTTCACCTTTTCAGTCAGTAGCTTCAGCATGGAAGTGATGAACAGCTCTAAGATTATTGTTTATATACTGTTTCAATATTTACATAGTTGCAAAACCGTTACCCACCCTCTTTCTCAACAAGAGATGACACAATACCACTTTTTTATGTCCAATACCAATATCATAAATTTGGTTATCTGCTGATACCGATACGAATCCGATATAGTGTATTTTTTAATCAATAAAACTGTTTTTAATATCTTGCTGCATTTTGTATGAGTTCATACTCAAGTTTTAAAAAACAAAACACTAAAGCTATTCTTTTATACTTGTATGAAAAAAAAAAACTGTCTCTCTGTCTCTCTTCCTTCTCTCACCCCAACCGGTCGCAGCAGATGGCCCCGCCCCTCCCTGAGTCTGGTTCTGCCGGAGGTTTCTTCATGTTAAAAGCGAGTTTTTCCTTCCCAATGTTGTTAAAATTGAATTGAAATTGAATTAACTGTTGTTTAAATATCTTGTTTAAAGTTCAAAGAGAGAGATTAGTGATTTCTGGTGCCACCTTCTGACCAAAATGCTTTGTGCTCCAAAAATAAAAATGTAAAGTTGTTGCTCTGTCTCAGTTTTTCCAGATGATAAACAAATTGTAATTTCTTTAATTGGAAGTTCATTGCCCAACATGTCCTGTATTTATAAAAGAGAGGTTTCTTTAGACAAATGTTAACAGAAAACTGTTAACATTTCCTAAGTTGAACAAAAGTGCTTTAAAAACAGGATATTGCACAATTAGGTTAAGAAATACATCAGGGGGATTTCAGAGGGTGACTAGTTGTAGTAATAGAAGGCATGCGTTAAAAACCAGTTATGATTAAAAGCTTTATCTTCACTATCAATGCTTTTATCTGTCACTTTTATTAAGAAGACAATGACATTGTGTTTTACAGCTGGGCAGTACAGTTGTGCGGTAGTTGGCACTGTTTCACAGCAAGAAGAATCCAGCAGCCAGCCAGGCCTTGCATGTTCTTCTTCTTCCTCTGCTCTTTTTGGGTACCTTGCCTTCGTTCTAGAATACAACAACATAAGTGTTAGTTTCATTCTAAATAAATCTCTGAAACATTAATTAAGTTTTATTAATGTCAGCTTGTTTATGCATGAATGCATTTTAGAAAGGACATGCAGGCATTCTGATATTTCCCTCTGCCTTATTACTGTAGATTTCATTTTCAAAGTTCAAGTAGAGAGTTTATTAAATACCAGCAATAGCAAAATCCATGAATTCGTCCAAAGAATACTGTCCATATATTCGCACAAGAAGCAACACAAGTGGCTCCATAATCACTCAGAGAGAGAATCATGAAGACAGAATCGAAACCATATGAACTTTCTTTGTTGGCATCACAGTAAGTTACATCTAATTGAGGTAGGTACTGTATAATAACACAGATTCATACTGCACACAATGTTACGCCCCAGTCTGGGGGTGCAGGAACATAACATAAGGGTTAGAAAGGAAGTGACCCTGCTCTGGTCCCCAAAACCATAAACTAATCTTTGAAGGGAACAGTGGTTTATTTGTCTCTACACTGAAAAGCTTAACTCCAGGGTGAACAAAGGCCAAAATAACAAACAAAACAAGCTAAGTTAGGAAAGGAGGTGCTATCTAAAACCCTACGTGAAACAAAAACCAAACAAAAGACACATGCTAACTCACTACTGAAACAAACAGGAGAAAACAGTACAAGAAAATAATAAGGCCGCTCCCCCCTTCTGTTTCAGTGTCTATTTACAATGTACTATTTACAAGTGAAGACTAATTTACACACTATATAAAACGCTCAGTAAATATTAGGTAACAGGGGTCACTGAGGCCAATGTCAAAAAACAAAAGATCTCTATGTGACATTTCAAAAGCATTTTTGTTAAGACTACTTGTCAATATATATTTAAATACATATCATAATGGAAGGTGACTGGTATATAAAAAATAATATAACATCTCAAACTCCTCTAACTGGTTAATGTATTACTGTTTGCAATATGATAACAAGCAAGTAAAATAAAGTTACTGTAACATCTTCTACACCCCTCTTTTGCTTACAGGCAAACGGCGAGAGATCAAGGACATGCAGAGTTTTTCCTCACAATTTCTGACCACATCCGTTTTTCTCACTACATCTATTATTGCAGCAAACAATCTGAAATCATTTAAAGATTTGAGATAATTGAATTTATAAGTAGAAACATAACAGCATCTTAAAGACTTAATGAAAATGTTATAAAATGCAGGACTGAACTGCTTGAGTAAATTACCACAGATAACAACTTTCCATCCATCTAATTTCTTCCGCTTATCAGGAGCCGTGTTGTGGGGGCAGCACCCCAAGCAGAGAAGCCCAGACCTCCCTCTCCCCTGCCACCGCCTACAGCTTGTCCGAGGGAACACCAAGGCATTCCCAGGCCAGCTGAGAGATATAATCTCTCCAGTGTGTCCTGGGGTCTACCCTGGAGCTTCCTCCCGGTGGGACATGCCTTGCCGGGTTGACCCAGGAGGCATCCTTGTCAGATGCCCGAACCACCTCAACTGGCTCTTTTTGATGTGGAGGAGCAGCGGCTCTACTCTGAGTCCCTACTGAATGGCCGAACTTCTCACCCTATCTCTAAGGGAGAGGCCAGCCACCCTTCGGAGGAAACCCATTTCCGCCGCTTGTATTCGCGATCTCGTTCTTTCAGTCACAGCTCGTGACCATAGGTGAGGGTAGGGACGTAGATCGACCGTTAAATGAGAGCTTCGCTTTTACACTCAGCTCTCTCTTCACCACAACAGACTGGTACAGCGTCCGCATTACTGTGGCAGCTTTTTACTGAAATGGTGCACCTAAAACCAGAGAAGTAGTTACAAAGTTACAATTATGCACTGAAATGGGAAATGGAGCATATTCTCCTTGTTTCCAACACAATATATTTTATTCTTGGATTCCTAAGCAGCTTCGGATGGTTCAGAGTTCAAAATACTTTGATTATAGCCTCAGTTTGACACTTCAGTTCATCTTCTGTCTTTTCTTGGCTCCTCTCCCTATAAGCCAACTTTCGTCTGATTGGTTTCCCTCATAGACAGAAGATTTGAATTGTAAGGGGACCTTTTGTGCTCATGGTCAGAACTGCGTGTCTCAGATTAAAGTATTGAGGATATAACAGAATAAAAGTGAATGTCTAGAGCATTATGAAGCGTTCGGCTTACAAAGATTACATGATCCCATTATCTGAAACTTTCCCATCTATTATAGTGAACATTCACAATTACAATTTATGTGGTTTAAGTTGGGTAAAGATTCCTTTAATAGGTACTCCATGGAGGTCAAAGGGCCTTTTTCATCATTGGTTCAATAATAAATAGACATTTAAGGTTGTGGAACAGTCATGGACAGTACAGATGCTAGAAGCCCTCTAACAAAGTAAGAAATGTAACAACCAATTTGCACAGATGAACTCAGGGCTTGTTTGAGTTATTGCCATTCATAAATGCACACAGAAGTCCAGACTGAGAGACTAAAGCCACACTGAAGACTGTTTAGGCACAGGTGCTTTGTTCAGGGATACTGACAATGACAGTCACTGTATTCACATAAACTCTTTCTCAAAGCCTGTTTTCCTGTCATTGAAATGTGTAGCTTCTTCAGCTGCTCCCCTGCTTCCTCCAGATATTTCAGAAGCTCCACTTCCTGATCTTACTTGATCTGAAGTTCTTGCCCCTCTGGATTTGTGTGTTTTTTATCAAAGCTATTGATAGGTTTGTAGCTTAAACCTATTCGCTGGAACGTTGAAGACAATATAATTACACAGCAAAGCAAGACACAAAGTAGGCAAAGTTCTTCATGTTTCTCGTGCTCGGGAGAGAACCGGACAAACGCCGTTCCTTCGCTTGACCCCAGTTACTCTCGTCCGCTCCCCCGTAACACTGCTCTTTTATTGAGGTTACATGAATATGCATAGGTTCATTAACATATGACGTCTACATACAAACAAAGACTACCTTGCCTGTGTGTGTGTGTTTGTGTGTGTGTGTGTGTGTGTGTGTGTGGGGGGGGGGGGTCAGAGTGTGACCCCATAAATGACTTCCCTAAACCTGCTGGTCTGGAAATCCAGCAGTTCATCTAAACAAAAGGCACTTAGACTAAAACAGATATAGATACGTTTATCCTACCATAAAACAACAAAACAAGGTACGACCTCTCCCATGCTCCCAGAGTGTGGGTGTGGATGCCAGAACACTCTCGAATGCGCACAAAGCCTTTGCAGACTATTAAGGATCAAACCTCTACCAATCTAAAACTAATTATAAAACTCTAAGCATATATAAGTAGATATTTCAAAGCATAAATGACAATCAACATTACAAAACCTAACAGCTGTTCCTTGTGGTGTTTACACATCTGGATTCTTGAGCATCACCTCTTTTTCAGCATGTTCAGTAATCCTAGTTAAAAAATACAATGTTAACTTGTCATTTTGTGTTCTTTGTGATTACATAAAACAATGTATACAATTCACAGAGGAGAGAGTGTTTCTTTAATAGTTCAGTTTATCCCACTTTTTAAAGTATTTTTCTGAAAATTTGGAATTGACTTATTTTGATTCTTCATAATTGAAAAAAGAGGTTTAGGGTCATGGTACATGCTTGCGATGGTTTCAGAGATATCAGTATGGACAATTTCATGTTTATGTAATGACAAAAACACTATTTTAAAATGAAAAAAGAGAGACATGTTTACCTTAGTCGCTATCTGTGAATGAAAAATCCCTCTACTCCATGACACTAAAGGATAACTTGATCTACTTTGTAAATGGTAAATGGCCTGCATTTGTATAGCGCTTTACTCAGTCCCTAAGGACCCCAAAGCGCTTTACACTACATTCAGTCATCCACCCATTCACACACACATTCACACACTGGCAATGGCAAGCTACATTGTAGCACAGCTGCCCTGGGGCGCACTGACAGAGTCGAGGCTGCCGGACACTGGCGCCACCGGGCCCTCTGACCACCACCAGTAGGCAAACACTGGGTTAGTATCTTGCCCAAGGATATTTGGCATGTAGCCAGGAGGCAGCCTGGGATCGAACCACC